TTTGGCTGGGGTTGGGTTTGAACCCACCACCTCCGGTATATGGGACTGGCACCCTACTCTTTAAGCCAGAGGTGCCACCCAACAGCTTTGTTCTTAAAGCTCTGTGCTGATTGTTCACAAGTCGTTATACATGCTTCATGTTTCAAAATTTCACACACAGAGGTTAGATTTCTCAATTAGTCCAGAAAACTTTGTTAAGTAATAATGCAATTGTAATAGTTTATTATAAATAAAAGTACCACCTATAACATTATTCCTTTGTGAAATGTACCTAGAGTTGCAACTTGGGATATCAGATTCCCTTAATGAAACTTTACCTTATCAGAAAGCATGGAGGTAGAAGTGGGTCTCCTGTATGAGCATCAACAGTGAAGGGGAAACTGGATGTGCTGTGTTGGTGGAGAGAAGGAGATTGTTCTGAACACCGCCGCAACCAGACAGGGAGCTGCCAGCTAGGTACTTGACTGAAGGAGATGTATGTACATTGCTCGAAACCCACATTGTTGCCAACAGGAGTTTACTGCTGACTGAACCACAGATAATTAGAAGTTTGTTGTATTATTATTTTGAATCCTTATTCTACATAGCTTATTAATTTAGGCAGACGATGTCTTCTAGTTAATGCTACTTATAGTATGTATGGCCCAAAGATTGACATCTGCCTACTTTTTGTTACCTGACCTTAACAGTAAATTGTTGAAAAAATTTCTGTAGCAATTGATGGAGTACTTTTACAACTATTGAATCTAACACTGAAAGATGAGAGCTGATGCCTTATTTTTTTTTAACTTTTCTAGTAATTCCTTTTATTCAGATCTATTATTGATTTAGATTAGATTGGAAATTTGAAAAGCAAATGTTTTTGAGAAGTATTACTGCAGGATAGAGAGCCAGGCTGAAAGAATATATAGGCTTGCTTTATAGCCTTTAGCAAATGACATAATCTCTTGGTTTCGTATAATAAATTGAGATTTTCTAGCCTGACATTTAGTCTGCAGGGTCAGAGATGCAAGAAATGTCAATGATTTTTATTTCTTTAATAGTAAGAAGATGAATTCAGTCTCAATTATTACTGCCCACCCTATCCACAGAGGCTTATCTGTAGGGCTCGGAACCTGAAGGCAGAGTAACTGCCCATAGCCTCATTGCCTGAGCCCTCTGCTGAGTCTTCACCTCCAGGGCTCCCTGTTGGTAAGGAGGGAGGGCCGCCCTCCTAGCATCCCATGCCTGTGTCCCTCCACGATGCCTTGTTGCCTCAGGCCATGGGCTGCTACTTCTGAGCCAGCCTCAACCTCAGCCATCTCTGGCCCTCTGAGCTTTCCTCCCTGAGCTAGGACACTCATCTCTTCCATGAGCCCAGGCTATGAAAAACCAGCACTAGAAGGGAAAGTTTCCAGACTAATTTTTATTCAGGGGGAGCCCCAATGCATACTTCCCTGAGGTAAGGAAGCGCAAAATGGCCTGAGAAAACACTGGTGGTCAAGAAGAAAGGGGAGAGACAGCAGAAGAAGTCACAGATTACTCTCAGTGCGTTCGCCATTGTCAGATGGGGGCAGTGCGCCTTCCTGACAGGGATATTCAAGAATTAAGTGAGTTAATGTGTGGAAAATGCACACAGGGTGCTTAGCACACAGTAGGTCCATGGGATTACTAGTCTAGTCCCCTGTGCTCCTGGAAGACCTTACCTGATACCCAGGTCAGGAAGCCCCCAGGCCAGCTGGTGCTTGTCTGGTCTCTGTGTGTCACAGACACCATTTGTGTCTGGATGATTCATCCAGCTGCAGTTTTCCTTCCTCTTCTCCTTTTATGGGATGGGCTCTGAGCCAAGGGTGCTTCATTTGCATCCGTGGAACCCAGGCTCTACTTCCACGGATGGCCTTCAGAGGGTCTCTGTTAGTAAAATGAAGTTTTACATTTTATTTCTATTCTTTACTTTCTCTAAAAATTTTAACAAATACGTCTTTTTTTCCGAATAAAAATCTCAGCAGATAAACTCATCCATGCTTCGTAGCAGATGCTAATGTAGTAGGTGTGGGTGGGGCCGGAGATTCTAGGTTCTAACAAGCTCCCAAGTGATTCCTGTGCTGTTGCTGCTGGATGAGCTCATTTGCACTTGCAAGGCCAAAGAGGCCTCCTCACTTTCTGAATGTGCCTTCCATTGCCCATTAGCCACACTGAACCTGCCATTTTCTTTTTGCAAGGTCTTAGTCCTCTGAAGCAGCTTTCCGTACAATTAGAAACATCTCCATGCCGCAGCTGTTTGCTCACCCAATATCCTAACCTCTGCATGCACAGAATCCCAGTTAGCCTGGGTGAAAGCTTAAGTAATTGCATACCAGGTATTATTACCATCCCTGTTCACCTCCAGCCATGGAGCCCCTTGTCCTTACAGACGGGGAGCCAGTCTATCTTCAATTTTCTATCTTTAAGACCTGCTTTTTAGAACTGCATCCAGTAGCACAGATTTTTGTAAGAGGACAGAGCCTGAGGCCAGGATTAAAGTGTTGTTTGCTTTTTTGAGAGCACAAACCCAAGGAAGGAGAGTGAGAACAAAGAGAAGCTAGGGAGGGAATGTGTGAGGTAGTGCGCAGAAAAGATCTGTGGTGAGCCTGCACCACTGAGCTCCGTTTTCAAGAGCCATGAAAAAACTCAGCAGGTGTGGCCGTTCAGCACACAACATTTTTCTAGAGGTCTGCAATAGAGCAATAATGATTCAGCATGGTCCCGAGGTGAGAGGCAGGAGAGGGATTCTCTGCTCAGCCCTTTTTGTCTTCTATGTCCCACTGGTCAGGTGGCTAGAGCCCCCATTGTTCCTTCCAAGCAAGAAGTGGCCAAGACTCTGGGCTGATGATTGGACAGTCTGGCAGCAAAGGGGCACCCAAAGAAAGGAAAGCGGTATTCCCAGGGCATGTGACTGGTCGTCCCCTGCCGTGGGTGTGGCCTGGAAGTGGGAAGTGCTGAAGGAGTCTGAAGACATGTGTATAGTCTGTGCCCAATACAGCGCCTGAGGGACAGAGCACCAGGCAGAGCAGCTTGTCATCTCTTTGTACCTAGGACAAGGCAAAGAGAAGAGAGGAACTTACAGTAGTTGTTGCTAATCTATAGCAACTATATTTGTGCAACCTCTCGTGCTTAGAGGGTAAAGAAGTAGGAAGTATTTTTTCAATTCTCCATACTTCTGTCTTGCCCCAATGTTGAGTCATCTGGAATAAAAAGTGGCCACTAGTACATCAGTGGAAACTTGCCTCATTCCAAGCACTTGGCAAACATTGCTAGCTGCTCATCACAATCTCTTCCATCTGCTGGCTGGGGACACTTCTTCCTCACTCCTGAAGTTCCCTGTGCATGAAGGTAGCTGCATGGATGCAGCATTCCTGCCCCCGCTTCTCCTGGACAAGTGACCTAATCTCATTTGTGAGCCTAGAATGAGAAATGGGCCCGTCTTCTGTCTTTGATTTGAGAGTAGGGTTCTCTTCAGCAGGGAACACATCATTCTGCTCTTCCTTGTCCACCCCCCATATCACTTTCCTTTTTTCTTAGTTGGATAAGTGTAAAGCAGGAGCAGGAGACTATTTCTTAGGCTTCTTTCAAAGTCCTCGCACCACTGTGTGACCAGCACTGGCATGGTGTGACTTTGGCGAGTTATTGAATTTCACGAGACCTCCCCTTTTCCTGCCTGTCAAATGAGAATGCTATCTGCTTCACAGTGTGGCTTGTAGTGCATTAAATGAGATATTATGGGAAGAATTTATAGCACTTAGAAAATGCTTGATAATGATAGTTCTTATTACTATGAGCCACAGGCTTTGGAAAAAGATTAAAAGTCAGTCTGGTTCTCCTTCTGTATAGGACACTTAGCATTTTCACATATAATGGGAAAGATAGATAATTCTAATGTTTCCCATTCAGGGAACCTCTGAGGCTACCTCTAATTCTTATTTTATGAGAGTGGAAATGCTTTTCTCTCAGCATCAATTTCTATTTCAGACTTGATGCAGAGGGACAGAGGGTAAGGTATATTTTCCTTTAGACCTGGGACTTTGCCACTTCCCTCTCATTCATATGATGTGGTTTTCAAATCACTGCTGCCTATGCCCTCTCTTTTCTCAGAATCATGTGAGCTTCCTAAACCCCCTCATGCCTAAAACCAAACTTGAGTGTTGAGGCTTTGGACTCAGTGAGTGAGAAGCCTCAGAAACAGAACTCACACTTCATTTACAAGAAGAATGGCTTCGGAAAAAAACATGTACAGTATACAACATGTTAGCACATTTCCAGGAAACGACGGCAAATTAGTCAAATCAAATTGCAGATGTAGTCAGAAAATTTTCGCTTGATTTTGAGTTTCCCAGACAAGATTTTGGTGGATAAAATCAAATGAGTTATAACCAGTATTTGAAAAGCACAGTGGTGCCAGCTCATCCTCAAGTCACCTTTGAATTGAAATCTTTCACAATGCAGTTCATGGCTTTCCTGTTGAATTATGAAGTGTTTGTGTCTGTGCAGTAAGGTGTTGGGATTCAGGGATAGAATTAAATTCCAGAGAAATACCACCACCATCACTGTCACAGAATACTGCAATTTTTCTCTTTGCTCAAGAAAGGGTTCTTTCCCTTGTGATCCACATGCTTTTGTTTCTTTTAAAGTTTCTGGTGCTCTAGTATCAAAGAGAATTATTGCTGAGGGGCCATTGTATAACAGATATCACATGTACTATAGGTTTTGTCCTTTCTGATTTTAAAAAGAATAAATTTAAAGACAACACTGTCACTGCTGTTGCCAAGTCATAATCAGGATAATATGTCTTGAGGAGCAGTAACTCATTCTCAGTATTTTTACCAAAGAGAAACATTTAAGATGATTCTTTCTGGTCCATCCTGAAGATTGTTGTCACATCATTTATTATTTTTATGATTGGTATATTCTAGGCTGTGGTTGCTGTGTGGAGAGGCAGATTTTATTATACATTGCCTAAAGGATTTTTGGTATTTTTCAAGTAGGTGGCTGTGCTACGATCCCAGAATCAGATCTAGAGGAACGGTCAACAGAACAAGACTCCACAGAACTGTTTACCAACCACAAGCACCTCATTGCAGAGACATCTACGCCAGGTAAGAGAATGGGTGGCCTTCACAAATGATATGTCAGAAGCAGTGACACTCTGGTCAGTTTTTTGTCCTACCAGAGAGCATTTTGCAAAGCTGCTGTTTTTCAACTGTTTTATCTTTCCCTTTAGTATTAGTGTAGTCAAATGTGATGGTTTCTGTATTCCTGCCATTATTCAGACCTCTTCTCTCTTTTTCTCTCTTACTCTTTCTTTTTTTTTCCCAGAAGTTTCACCCCTCCAAGGAGTGTTGGAATAATCCAGGCAGAGTTGTTTGGTTGAGAGGAAGACGCCCTTCCCAAGGCTAAACCTGTGTGGACCTCACGCGAAACAGATGGAGGGCTGGCCCAGGTGCTTCATAAGGCTGACCTTCCCGGAGATGGCATTACATAGAGATGGGAATCGGGCCTTTTATTTAGCTGGAATACCATGAGCAAGTCAGTTGAAACTTGTCATGTCTTGCCAGGAGACAGAAGACGAGGGTGCTGGCTTTCGTCATCTGCATGCTTCTAGTCACAGAATATAGCAATATGGCATAGTTTGGGGACAGACTTTATAATGCAGAGATCCAGATCCAAAATAATTTGATACCCCATTTTTTCACAGACTTCTTATATAGTAAATGTATCAAGTTTAATAAAGCATCTCATTGTCAAAATATATCTTGAATTTGATTTGCAATCAGAGGGTTATATAAGTGATTACTTTATTTCTTCAAAGGAAAGGAAAGGAATTGGAAATGTTGCTACTCCATGGTAAGACTTGAATGTGATTATTTTCTAAATGAAAGAACTGCTACAAAACTTTCATATGATTTGCTCTATTAGTCTAACAGTGGAAGAAGGTAAGTTGTATGAAACTGTTAAAATAGTTTCCAGGAAGTTAGTGCACTAACATCCTCTTTTCATTACCTCAGTGGGTAACACCTTGAAAAAAAATCCAGGTTAAAAAGGATTCCTATTTTATTACAATTAAAACTTAAGATTTTTACATTTAAGAAATAAAAGAGCTTTTGCCAATTTCAAGTTAGAATTACAGTTGTAAGGCTGATTTGTTTTAACAAAAATATGTCTAGGCCAGTTTTGGAATGCCTCTTAGGACAGAGGGGCATGGTTTTTCTGCATGTGAAGTGCTAAAATACTGCAGCTGCGTCATTTGTTATTTCTAGCATCCTTTTTTAGGAGATGTGCAGAAGATACAGCATTTTTAATTGTCTGGCATGGGAATGGGAAACATCTAGCCAGAGTCAACCACTAGGTGAATTTCACCTAGCCCATGGGGACTAGTGCCAAGATGTCGTGGCACACACTTCCGATTGTTTTTAACAGCTTGCTTCAGGAAAAGTGTATTACTTCTTTAGAATGTGCTTCTGTGTTATACCTTCTTGGTGTATTTGTTTCCCACGAACATTTTCATTTTGTGCACATGCTCGTATCTGTTCTTTATTTTCTTGTGTCATGTTCAGTTTGTATGTGTCCTTCTAACTGCCTTTTTTGGACTTAGTTTCTCTCCCTTGTCTTTTTATCTTCCTCTGTGATCAATCTTACTCCCTCTTCATCTGTTTTCCCAATTCTTCCCTTCACCTTTTGATTCTTTCTTTTCATTTCTCATGATGTAAAACTGAAGCATGTTGTTTGGTGCTTAATGGTTATATTGTGCATGAGTACAGTGAGTTTCTTCTCTTTCACGTGCTTCCTCCGCTGTTTCTCTTTTATTCATATAGTCTAGGATTGCTCTGTTCTGTGAGAGAGTAACACCAACATAAATCCAAAAGGCTGCCTCTCTCTGGTTTGGGAGTTTAAGGGGACTTTTGTTGCTACCATTAATTACATGTTATATTGGGAAGTTTTATTTTGAGAAGTATATTTATAAAATGTTTGCCTGGAAAATATTATCATTATCTTATACCAATTAGCATAATTATTTGACCAAATAATTTAATTTTTTACATGAATAACGTTAACACAAAACACTATACACATATCATATACATAAATATTTTTAAACATATGTTATTTATTATCTTTCACATTTTACTGGCTGCCAAAAAGAAAGTTACTAATCACATTTTTAACTTTATTAAATTTAAAAATTCTGAACAGAATAAAATAATTCAGTTCATGACTTAAAAGCAACTTTTGATAAAGAATTTCCTAGATTTAAGTTGTGTATCTGTCCTTTACCCTGGTTTTAGCTTCATGATATAAAAATACACATAAAATCTTGCTACTAACCAAAAAAATAATGGAGCCAAGAATCATGATGTATTTTGGGGTAGCATTTTAAAGATCAAGACCCAAATAATTGTTAAAACTATTTTCATTATTTTGGCATGACTATTCCAGTCTTTATTAATAATTATCTGTTACCTCTTTTATGTGGATATGTGTATGTTTTTGTGTGTAGATGTGATCTTTGAGTAGCTCACGAAACTGGAAAAAGTAAGATGATCCAGATGGCTTCATAATAACTCCATATATTAGGATAGCTATTAATAAAATAGCAAGGATTTATTAAATTCTTATTATGGGCAAGCACAATGTTTAGCACTTTATATATGTATGCAGATTTCATTTATTTCTCACAGTACTGCGATGTAGGTACTATTATCTCTGTTTTACAAATGAGAACTCTGAGGCTTATAAAGACTAAATAATTTCTCCAATATTTTGCATTTAGTAAATGAGAGAACTGGGATTTTAATTCAGCTGGATTCCAAAAGCCCAAATATACACCTGTAGATACAGATTATTGGTAAAGCTACAATGAAATATAGTTTAAAATTGAAACTTTTTGGTCCAAGATAGTTTCATTTCTTGGATTTCTAGAATGGTTGCCCATTAATAAATATATACTTTCAGGCCATTTTATAATTCTTTGGTGAATTCCCTGCTTGTGTTCCTTTCCTTTTGGAGGTGATCATAATCATATCCTTATTGATTCATAACTTTTATATGTAAAAATGATATTAATCTTTGGTTGATCATGTATGATATAGACACTGGCCTCAGTTTTTCACTTGCATTTTTATTTTATTTCTAGGTTTTTTAAATAGAAGTTTTTGAAATTTTAAGTAACCAAATCTATTAATTCCTTTCCTTGTGGCCTCTATTTAAAACTTTTGGTGACAAGCCATGTATGTACTGATTTAAGTTGGAGCAGTGCACCCAACCGGAGCCTCACCTGTCTTCACATGGGATGGAAACATGTTTGGCCATGAGTCTAAGGGCCTCTCCTGTTTCTTCTCTGTGCTGGCCCGAGGGTTTGCCCAGACTTCATTTGTATCCTTCCCAGTGATGCACTGGGTTATATAAGCCACAAAGCTATGGTCTTTTCTGCTTCACCCTAAGATAGAATGACTGAAGAAACAAACACTGCACTATATTTAGAATCTCTGCTCCCAGCTGATGCTCTTGTGGACTCTCCATTCAAACGATCAGCTTTCCTAGAAGATTTCTTCACCTTCTGTAAATAGCCTTGCCCATTCCCTCACCAGACATGGCCAAACATCTCCCCATCTCGTGTGAACACAAGTGAGGCTCTAGTTGGGTACACTGCTCCAACTTCAATCAGCATGTACAGAGGCAATTCAGCATAGAGTCTATATCCTAATCCCCCAATTCCCTAATTCCCTGAGTGTTTTGTTTTCCCAGCCTCTCAAGGGACTGGCTTGTGACGGGGAAGGTAGTTCCACAAGTCAAATACACCTGAAGCCTCAGGGGTCACTCAGCTTTTATCAGTTTTATCAACAGAAGCTGTGAAGAACTTTAAGTTGTGAAGGAATAGCTATTCTGTAATTTCATTAATTTTTAAAATTTATTCTATGATTTAAAACTGGCCAATCCAACCTCTTTTTTGGTTTTTATTTTTTTAAATCTGCCTCTAACTAGTTGGTAATCTGTTTTGTAATCTGCATGATTCCCTGTTATTTAAAAATGTGGGCAATGATAAACAAGAGAATCAAAATGAAATACATATGAGGAGTGCATAAACCCCTTGAAAAGCATTATAAAATACAGATTGGCAGCAGTGCCACACTACCCGTGTCCTTTTTGTGTGTCAACAGGTGTCCTCCATGGTACCTTATTCAGAGATAGAGGGTGTGTCCACAGGAGTCGGGGAAGGGGCTGACAGGGGCAGACTGAGGGGAGAGAGAGATCCAATCTCGAGGTTTTCAACTGATTGCATTTTAGGATCTTTTCTTTTCTTCCTTCTGCTTATTTGTATTTTCAGAATTTTCTTTAATGAATCTGTATGTGTTGCTCCTGCATTAAGAGAATAGATCCCATCTCTGCATATATCAGTCAGATATGAGTGTTGATGATATAAATAATAACTAGTACTCTTATTGCTTACCATCTGTTAGATTAACAACATGAGTTTTAGGGCATCACGTATTTGGACATTGTGCTCTAGAAATTCTAAAAAGTTTAGAATGTAATGTATTGTCATCAAAATAACATGATTGTCTATAGCAGTAATATGAGCATAAAATGTTATCAAAATTATAGTTTTCTCCTTATGTCCTTAACATCTTATAATTCAAAAAGCAAATGTATCTAGTTAAATATGAAAATGACCTTAGAGAAGGTTCTGACAGAGCAGTAGAAGGCTGTATAGATTGCACTCGATGCTGCCCTCTCAATAGCCTTTTGATTTATGCAGTGTCAAATTAGTTAGTGTTTTCTGTTTTAGCAGCTAAACTGTGGAAGCTATGTGGATATCATGTGGGATTTGTTGATTTGGACTTTGAAAGATATAACTTATGGTGCAGCATAACTTCCAAGGCCTAATTAGAATAAGAAGCCAATTAGAATAGCCACATCCCCTAGTGCTTAATGTTTGGGTCAGAAAGAAGGTTCTAGCTCATGTAAGGGAAACACTGCAAACTCCCTGATTCTCAAGTTTACCAGCATCTCATTTTAATTATATCCAATCCTAACCCTAACCATTTACTTCAAGGCTAGTTTTGAATAAAATAATTCCTCATCTGGATGCTGAAAGCAACATTTGAGGTCCTCTGGGGACAAGTGGAGAAGGCACTATGGGCTCTACTTTTAGCCCCATATTCTGGCTCCTTTTTACACTCTCTTCTTTTTTATCTTTTTATTTTGCTACAACTTTCAATTATTCTCTCATGTTGTATTGACATATTCTTGTAAACCCTTTAAATCATTTTGGTGATGGGATGGGGAAAGGATAAATCAGTACTGTCACCTCTTGAGATTCTCCGAATCACCTTTGGTAGCAATCATCATTACCACTTTAGAATTCCTGGAGAGTTCTCTATGCCTCTCTGAGTGTACCCAACTCTATATTTTAGATGTCATATTTTTCTTTTCTGGTAGGACAGATTTGCAAGATCATTGGACACAACTGTTCTTGGATTCTTTTCATTGCTTAGTCAATATTCAATCAACAGATTAACTTCTTAAAAGAAGTCACCAAGTCATAGAGAAATACTGAAACCTGTGGCATAGAATATTGGCCATAATTTAAATTTCTTGATTTCATTTTGCATATTATACTCAGAAGAGGATGATGTAAGTATCCTATATTTACTTAAATTTGTCTTAAAGAGATATCTGATTCGTAAAGATTCAATACTTCAGATTTTTTTTCATGTA